TGTTTTGTTATTTCAGTCTTCTCTACCTTGTGTCACCCTAGGATGAGAAGAATCAGCTGATGACAACCAACGTGTGGCTGAAGCAGGTAAATCAGACCAAATCCCATCTCTGCTTTCAGTGCTGGGCTGCTGACCTGAGCAGCCATCCCAGCCTGCTGCTCACCACGCCATCCGACCCCTTTCGTGACATCAAGTGGCCAGACAAAAGCAGCACCGTGTTACCTTACCTGAAGTTTTTACTTTATTCCTCTCACTTCAGCAAATGCATAAAGCAGCAGAGAGGCAGGCAGATAGGCCTTTAGGAAACAGGGTACCCTCCTCTCCTGGCCTGCACCCCAGCTGTGTGCTCAAGCCAGCTGTATTTCAGGGAAGCAACATCTCCTGACACTCCAGTAGCTGTCCCTGGATGCTGTGTGTGTCCTGAGGGACTATCCTGTCTCAGGCTTAGAGGTCATGCAAGTACTGTCTCTCTTGCTTGAGCTAAGAGTGGTGCCTCGGATAGATTTCTTCTTCAGCATAAGTAAAGAGAAAGACAAGACCAGCATGCTACACTCCCCCCCACCCCCAGTTAAAATCTGTGGCAAATTAATCAGATGTCTCTAACATAATTGCTTCTGTAAGTGATGATAATTTATACAAATGGGGGAAAGGTACAAGTTGAACTGTTATGTCTCCTTTCTTCTTCACTCCTGAAGAACACTGCATTTGGTTTAGATTACATTGCACTGGTTTATTGACCTTGTGACAATTATTTTAAGTATCTCAGTGGTGTGAGTATCTATAAACATGTCAGCTGATCCTAGGCAGAGGACATAAAGCCCAAGCCATACTTGAAATGATACTATGGGAAATGGTTCCCAGGGGTCACCGGGCTGGTAGAGGAGAAATGCGGTTCAGTTTCTGTTCTCACTCTGGTACCTGAAGTGCTGCAGTGGTTGTGCGCTTCTGGGTAGAGCAGGACCCCTAAAAGCCGTGTGGACATCATATGCAAAGACGGTCTTTCCCTTGAAGAGGGAGAAGCTCAGACATCCCCTCGCTGCAGGGAGGACAGGATTTTCCCCTTTTGCTGGGTTAATTTGCTGCTGATCTGAATCCAACTGCTGAGAGCCTGCCCTGAGAGAGATGCGGTGTTACGTTTTCCCCACCTTCAACTGCAATTGCAGAGTCCCTCATGTGCACAGGGCCAGATCTTGGCTTTCTTACTCTGTCTGAGTGCCCACTTGGGCAGACAGCAGAGCCCTCCTACAAAGGTAACCCCTCGTGCCCCTCCGCCCCCCCTCTGTCCTCTCCCCATTCCCACCCTCTCTCCTTGCAGGCTGCAGAACCCACCTCCCCCTGCAGTCTGCAGCTGTGAAATCAACCCACTTCACCCTCCTCATTCTCTCTGTTCCTGCTAGTGTCCCCAGAAAGATTTTACAACCTTTGGCAGCCTTTGACAGAATATTCCTGGGTCTGACCATCTCCTTCTTCTTGGGGAAGACTTGGCTGCTTGCTCCATCCAGGACAGCAAAATCTCCTATGCCCTGGGGCAGCCTTTATCCCTCTGACTGAGTGACATCTTCACCCAGGTTACAGTGACTGCAGAAGAGAGGGACCTGAAGTATTGACTCACATTAGCAGGCCAAATGCGATTCCAGGCTGCCCAAGGGCATTAGGCCTGAGATGCTAATGCAGACAAACATCTACGGATCCTCTCTCCATTGCTGCATGAACCTATGTGGGGATGTTTCAGGTTAGCCCACCCACACTGAGCACCCTGTTTGTATTGCAGCATTGACCTCCCCAGAATTACAGACTGGAGCCTGTGTCACCACTCTCGTTGTGGGAAATTACATTCTGCTGCAGGTTATGCCGAGCATGCTGCAGGAGGCAGGGACCTGCCCCCATCCACTCATCGCCTCTCAGGTGTGGGGCAGGGTGAGGATGAGGGGGAAGGCACTTTGATCCTTCTGCCTCACGCTGTGGCTAAAAGAAGGACACAGCCAGCAGTCTGTACTGTAGACATGCTGATTTCTCTGGATGCCTTTGGAGTCTGTGCTCAGATTTTAGCCAGGGCAGCTCCCTAGAGTAACTCAGCACTGTGATTTTCAGAATGGCTGAGCTGGAGTCTCACTAGTTGTTACCGTTTCCAATACCCCTTCTCCGTCTGAGGGGCTGAGAACATCAAGGCCCAAATAAGATGCAAAGGAAGCCGAAAATAAGTGCGACATAGACTCTGATTTTCACACATGCAGATGCTCCCAGGAGGTCAGGCTGAGCACCAAATACCTGTCGCCTGACCCAAATGTCCTGCTTTGGGAGTCAGCCATTCCTGTAGGCTTACCATGAATGGGTCCCACATGCAATCCAGTGCTTGCAAGATTATTAGAGTGCATAAGCACAACAACTAGGAAAATGTCCATTAAACTAAGCAGAACTAATTTTATTTTTTTCTTTTGGGTAGGGAAAAGTGAAAAACACTAAAACAAACCAGAACTCTCTAACAACACAGATCCAGTCCTTCTGCAGGAGTCGGGGAGGTCAAGGAAGTCTGGTCGTCACTCTTGTTGTGTGAGGTAGAAGGGGAATCAGTCATCATTTCTCTGCAAGAGTCTGGCTTTTCTTAAGTAACGAAAGCTTAAATCCAAGGGTTTTCTTTTTTTTCGTTCTTTTTACCTCAAGCAGCCAGATGCTCCAGGTGGTGGGACTTGATAATGTGTGTGCAGGCAGACACAGAAGGTGCAAAGGAGCTTTTAGTGGTTGCTGAGAAAGTATCTGGGTTTTGGCAAGGCATGGAGTTTACTAGCAAGGGTTGAGAATCTGGGTCCAGTGTTTCTTGGTCCACTTGCTGTGGGTTAGGAACTTGAGTGACAGGCCAGAGATGGGAATTTGGCAGAACTGGAGGAATGGGAGAGCAACAGGAGAGACTGGAGCAACTTGGAAGAAAGGGAGAAGACAGGAAAGGGCCTTTCACATCTGCTGCTACAGTTTGTGTCAGCATCGCCCACAGGGAGATTCCCGTTTTAAACTGCTCATCTTCGAAGTCTGCACACAATCTATCTTCTGCCCTAGTAAGAAGACATGCAACCATTTGCTTTGCAGACATGAAAGAGCACTTTAGCTGGGAGAGAAATCAATGCAGGGCAGGGGGGAGGGAGGACTATTGCAGGTGCAGCAGATAACCCAGGCCAAGGGGCTGCTCCAGTTCACCTCCAGAGGGATGATTACATCTCCAGGTGGCTCACAGGGTATTCGCTTCTGTTGTGTTAGTGCAGGCTACCAGCTGACTGTGTTGGCTGCTGCTGCTGTCAGCCCCAATTATTCCCTTGCACACCAGGTGTTTCCAGCCTAAGCCCCCTTGCACCTATTACAGGAGGTGCCCAGGACACATGTGAGTGGGTGCCCACCTAACAGCCCAGGTTGCTGGAAACCTCTGGCAGATGCCCATCCACAGAGAAAAGTTCACGCTAAAAGTGGTGTGGTCTGTCCCTGCTGCTGAGGCTAAGAGCAGCAATGACCCCTCTTCTGTTTCCTCAACAGCTCCCATCCTTCCTTCAGCAGCAGGAGGAACCAGGGATGGAGGGCTCTGCCTGATAGGTGACACCAGACATTGGGGCAGTTCGGAGAGTGGGTCCATATCTCTTCTAGTGCAGTTAGTGGGGCCATTAATCCTGCCATGGTACCACTCTGGGCAACTGCCTCCTTTGCATGTGCCTCAGGCCAGATTTTAGGAGGAGTCTACCAGCCACCTGCCCATGACCTTGGGCCCCATCCCTTCCCTGCGCCTGGAGAAGGAAGACGCTTGATCTCATTGTCTGTATTTAGATCTCTACTGAGTCTCTGTGTTGCTGTCACACTGTAAAGGACTGCAATAATAAGTGTCTGTATGTATAGCTGTAAAAAGCATGTGGAATCGAAGAAGTAAGAGGGGAACAATATGGTGGGAGAAGCAGAGAATATTGCATTTTCGTTCATCCTTAGGTCCTGGAGGAAATTGCCCAGAGAAGGATGAGGCCCCCACATCCCTGGGGAGCTCTTAGTGCTGGAGCTTAATGGAAAGTGGTTCATCTTCCGCTTCTTGGTATTGACCACAGTCTGCAGCTCTTGCTTCCTCTCACTGCTATTCCTGTGGGCAAGTGAAAACCTCCATCAATAATGAACAGGGATCAGAGAGCTGCTTTTCCACTGCATCTCTGTGAAAATCTCCAGGTTGCTAGAGCTACTTTACTAGAAATTCCCCATCTGAAAAACAAAAAGAGGAGAGAAAAATTATTCTGGAGTTCGGCATGGTGAAAATGGACAGGACTCCCCTTTTTTTTGCTTTTTAAGTATTATCTCCTAGGATTGTAACCACATGCGTTACAATAGCGTTGTAGTATTTTTCCTGCAATAGTGTGCATGTCTTTCTGATGAAAGACCAATGATTTGGTTTGCAAGGACAGTGTACAAATATTAGGTGTTGTATTCCCTTCACTGAAAAAAGCCAGGTCTCCACTGAAAAGCAATTAGAGGCCACCTCTCTGTCACTTGGGTAGTAGTAGCCATACAAGCCAACGCTCTTCTATGGGGTCAGTGCCAGTCAAAAACAACATCGGCTGGTTCCTGGAGAGAAGAGGTGCAGTGCCCAAGGGAAGTGGCTCCTTCCTTCTGGACCACCCTAAGGTGGACTTGGCAGGACAGTGAGTGAAGTGAGAGCCAAGTGCTCTCCGGGAGTGCCTGCCTTGAGATTGCCTGCAAAGGGATGGGTTGCTGGGGCTCACCTATGGCTGGAGGGGCCATGCTTGTGGGGACTAACATCCCTCAGCCCCATGCCTGCCTGGCATCTTCTCTGCAGCTGAGCAGTCTTGCACCAAGCTCTGCCCATTGTGCTGTGCAGTGCAGTCCCTCTGAGGCAGATGGTGGGAGGATGTTGTGTATGAGTGGGCAGAGGACTCTGCTGGCTTGTTACAGGAATGGATCGACCACAAGCTCTACTGGAATCCAGAGGAATACGGTGGGATCACCGCCATCCGTGTCCCCTCTGAGTCCCTGTGGCTTCCTGACATCGTTTTGTTTGAAAAGTGAGTAGCTCGGCTCCTTGCTCTGGGCTTAGGCCAGAGCTTGGGCAAGGGATGTCAGCCACCGTGAAGCTTGTGTGTGCTGTCAGAAGGCTGCTTCTTTAGGTAGTGTGAATGTTGGCTTCCCTTGTGCTCCAGGTGATGGGTAGAAAGCAGAGCTGTGAAGGGGTAGGACTGGGGCAAACACAGTCCTGAACGTGGTACTGTTTCTTTCTGTCCAACTCCCAGTGCTGATGGACGTTTTGAAGGATCCCTGATGACCAAAGTCATAGTGAAGTACAATGGAGTGGTGACCTGGACGCCACCAGCCAGTTATAAGAGTTCCTGCACGATGGATGTGACCTTCTTCCCCTTCGACAGGCAGAACTGCTCCATGAAGTTTGGGTCATGGACATATGACGGCAGTATGGTGGACTTGATTTTAGTGGATGAAAATGTAGACAGGAAAGACTTCTTTGATAACGGGGAGTGGGAGATCTTAAATGCCAAAGGTATGAAAGGCAACAGGAAGGATGGGCTGTACTCTTACCCATTTGTCACTTACTCCTTCGTGTTGAGACGCCTTCCACTGTTTTACACTCTTTTCTTAATAATCCCTTGCCTGGGATTGTCTTTTCTAACTGTTCTGGTCTTTTACCTGCCTTCAGATGAAGGAGAAAAGCTTTCATTATCTACATCAGTTCTAGTCTCCCTCACTGTTTTCCTTTTAGTGATTGAGGAAATAATCCCTTCTTCTTCCAAAGTCATCCCTCTAATCGGTGAGTATCTGCTGTTCATCATGATTTTTGTGACCCTCTCTATCATCGTGACTGTGTTTGTTATCAACGTCCACCACCGCTCCTCAGCAACTTACCATCCCATGGCTCCCTGGGTTAAAAGACTCTTCCTCCAGAAGTTGCCTCGGCTGCTCTGCATGAAGGGCCATGTAGATCGATACTCGTTCTCAGAGCCTGAAGGAAAGGAAACAACCCTGAAATCAAAGCTTCTGGGAAAGCAGAAACACAAGCAAGCAAAAGACGGAGAGAAAATTGTTATTGCCTTTCTGGAAAAGGCAGCCGACTCCATTCGATATATTTCCAGGCATGTTAAAAAGGAGCATTTCATCAGACAGGTAGGTGAAGGGAAGGCAAGGAGCGATCACAGTTTCCTTGACAGCAATGGCTTCTAAGCTCTTTCCTTTTCTGCATGCTTTTCCCTTTGCCTGTTCCTCCTGCTCTCATCTGAGACACCTCCTGGGAGCTTCCCCTCTTTAATAAATAATATGGGTTTTGGGAAAATGCATTGCTTCAAGGAGAACTGTGTTGTGCTGTGAGAGTCCCTGCTCTTCACAGATGCAAGAGGCCACAGCAGCCTCTTCTGGAGGAATTCCTGTTTTGGGATTATTTGAATAGCCTCGTCCTGCTTAAGCTGGGGATAGACATGAATCTGGAAAACCTCTGAACTGTCACCGGCTCTGAAAGTGTATCTTTCACAACACTTACAGGCAGAGTCTTACTGGAGTTGCTAGGTCTCAGTCCTGGCCTCCCAGTGACTATACACAGTGTAGCTGCCCTGTTTTCAGTGGAGGTCTTCTAGATTTTCACTAACATCAGTTCAGATTGGTCCCTAACTACCATCTTTCTCCTCCTCCCAACAATCCACCCGGCTATTAAAATGGCAAATTACTGTGTGTATAAACAATGCATCTCATGTGAGGGTAGGACAGCATAGCAATGCACCTAGAAAAAAAGAAAAACTTCTGTTAGAACACTCCTAGCAAAAGCCAGGGCTTTGTTCAAAGTATGCTGAGAGGAATTCAACAGAAAGATGAACAATAATCAAACATGCAGTATATGAGCACATGGTGTCCACGACTGAAGCCTTCCGTTTGAAGCTGAAATAATTTTTATTAACAAAAGTCCCTTGAATAGCTTTTGTAGATAGCTCTTTTGTGTGTGCAGGGTTGTGCCAGTACTCACAATGCAAAATCCCCCTCCCGAATGGACAAAATCCGAGCCAACAGAGCACTTAAGCAAATGCAAGCCAATGGGACCACTTGTACTGGAAGCGATGTTTGTGCCAATGTGCTGTGCTAGAGCCAAATCCTGGCCCTTCAGGGGAAATGCAGTTCTGTGAAAAGAAACCCAGTTCATTATAAAGACATCTTCAAGCTTCAGTCTGTAAAGTTTCACATATGAACTTAGCTAAAAGCTTTTGCACAGGCTGAAAGAAGTCTGATTACCATGTGTGCAGAACCATGGAATTGTTTTGGGGTTTTGAATGATGTGCAGCTATGGGTGCTGAAAAGGTAATCAGGGTGAGTTTTAGGATATAGCACACTACAAACTTCTAGTTTTAAAACAAGATTGTTGGAGCTGAAATATACGTACAAGTATCAACAAAGTACTTGGCTCATTACTGTTTCTGTTTGTCCTCCCTCTCTCCTTCCCAGGTTGTCCAAGACTGGAAATTTGTAGCTCAAGTCCTGGATCGGATCTTCCTGTGGTTATTTCTGGTGGTGTCAGTGACGGGTTCAGTTCTCATCTTTACCCCTGCGTTACAGATGTGGCTGAACAGCACTTTGTAGAAAATGCTCCCACAGTAGCATACAACAACAAGTACAATGCCAAGGGGTCGTGGTGCCTCCAAAGTTTGGTCTCTATTGTACAGGACGGGAAGCAACAGCAAGAACGAGGGAAGCTGACAGTAACAGCGGGCATTGACTGGTGCTTTCTGTCTTCATACAACTCTACCAGTTACAGATTTGGCTGAGATCAGAGAAAGGCTTCATGCATAGCTGAGTCCTAAAGTGAATTGGGGTTGCACAATTGGGTTATAAGTATTTTACTAGTAGCTTGGTTATATTACAGTAAAAGGCAAGATTATTAGTTAAAATTGGAAATAGTACTTCTGGCACAATGATTACGTTTAAAATGCAGATCTGTCAGTTAAAATGCTACTTTATAAAAGAATTTACAGTAGGAACACAAACCAGTACTCAGTTTATCTACATTTCCAAGTAAAAACCACAAAGTCTCTACAGATTGCTTTGTGCATGTGTCAGAACTGGCAATCGCACAGCATTTGCGTCAGAAAAAACACGAATGTCTTTTAGATAAGATGCTCAAAACGTTGACTCTGTGGCCTCACCTTGCTGCAGAATCAGCTCAACAGTGGCAGAACTTATCACTGCCCACTGGCTACCAGCCTTCATGGCATGCACACTTTATCTCTCCTCTTGGCCGTCAGGAAGCTACAAGGTGGTACCCACTTTTCAGTATTATTTGCAATTTTGCCTGCTACTCTGTAACGTACCAAAAAGCTGAAGAAGTAAAGATTTTCTGCATGCTCTGCATTTAGAAACTATGATTCCTGCACCTGCTCGTTCACAAAACAAGTGGAAGTGGAAGATCACCTGAAGCATATCTCATGGAGAAAGGTAGCTATGCTACTCCATAAGGCAACAGTGATTTTCCTGAACAATTCAGTTGGAGGGAAGCTGCAGACGTTGTTTTCGGCAAATGAAACTTGCAGTTGTTGCAGAAGTGGAGTTTCTTCTCAGAGCTGTGCAGTGGGCTGGCTACCAGGAAGACACATCTTTGGGTGTTGGCTTGTTCATATTTCCCAGACAATTCAGAATTTCATTCCTTTGATTCATTTAAATAGCATCCTTCTGTATGATTAGAAACAGCTCTTAAAAGTGTAAATGAAACCTGAAAGAAAACACACAGATGAAGTTCTCATCGCTTTTGCTGGGGCAGTGTTTTGCCAACTTGGAGTGCTTTAGAAAATCTCATTCAGAACTTGCAAATGTTTTCAAGGCTAGCAAGGGATTTGGGGATCAAATTTTTGACAAACTAAATGTGAATCTGGTGTTAAAGCTTTATCTTTGAAACTTTTAGCTTGAAAATTTCTCCCTAGGGATGGAGGTTAGAAGGTGTTAAAATACATGGAGGTATTCTTGTGCTTGGATCATGTGCGCACACCAGCGCTCTGTGAGTTAATATCATCCCACCTTGTCATGTCACTGCAGAAAGTTCTGTTCACTTGTGCAATCCTTATTAATAAAGATGTATTTAGTAAATGATTCCTGGGGTGAGAGTGCTCAGATGGTGGGCTTTGCTGTTGTTTCGTTGTCAACAGAGTCTAGACTGTAGCCCATTTTAAAAGCTTTGTCTCAAATCTATTCAAACAGAAGAGCTGTCATGTTCTTGGAAAGTCCTTGTAACTTTTTAGCTCTGTGTGTGAGTTTGAGGAGGGAGCATTCAGATGTGGTTACTGTACTGCAGGAACCTAGAACAGACCCATTTAGTTTAGCATATACAGACAGATGTTTTAACATAAGACACTGGTATAAAACTCTTCCACCTTGACTTTACTACCAGCTGCTCCTCTCTTCTTGCATTGTTTCAGTTTGTTCCCCTGGTCAGTACTGTGAAATATCCATAGCAAAACAGCCGGGGAGCTCTTCTTTCCAGCATTTACAGACTCTTGAAATCAACTAGTGATAGGTTACCCCCCTGAGCACCGCTGCCGGAGGCTGCCTGTTAGCCATGACAGATAACAAAAATCCTCTATTAGGCAAGTGCTTCAGCTGTTTAGTGGGCAGATGGTCCTGTCCTCACCTTGTGACTTTTCGGTTGCCCACCCACAAGCACCACATAGGTGCATCTCACGTGGCTGTGTCTGATGCCAAGCTGCTTTTTCTGGCTTATAAAAGTCAGCACGGCTCAGGTCCTTGGAGTGGGAGACGCATGAACACTGCACAGGTATGGCTTTTGGCCTCTGGTTTTCCTAGCATTGCACCTGGGACTGCTACATCTGTAGTCTCAATAATCATTATTTCCTTGTGTTCTTTCTGAGCTTCCCTGAATCTCTTTGCCCCTGGCCAACAAATGCATTCAGCATGTCCCACAGTCTGGCCTACAACTGAAAAACACAACCAGGCAGGACATTTGGGCAGACAGTCCTCTGATGGGGTGCTTTCCTCTGCTCCATGTGCCCTGCCTGTGGATGACAACTTCGCAAATTGCAAATCTTAAAAAAAACCTCAGCAATTCTCTGCCTTACTACTGCCTCAACATGTGCTGCCTTGATTTCTGGGCACTGGTCTGCCCGGGTGTGGGACACTGAACGGGTTAATGTACAGGGGTGCCTCAAACATTGGTGCAAAACAAGTTCTGTCCAGCAACCAGAAGTGGGCTAGCATGATGGGGCTGGGGTGGGGTGGGGTGTGTGTGTGTCTCTGTGTGTGTGCATCGCCTTGTGAGCCAACTCCCCTATTATGTCAACTGAGATACTGTGAACAGAGATACCGTCTGTCATTTGCACGTACGTGCCCATGAACTGTGACTGTGCAGACAAAAGGTCGTACCTTGGTCACGCAGAAGGAAAAAGGGGGAAGGGGCTAGATGACCACCGGAGCTCCACAGCTACCCCAGACCCATTTCTCAAAGTTTTCAAAGCAAAGATTACACATGTGCCAGCCAGGGCAAATGCCCTCCCCTGGGGCATAGCCAAGGTCTATAAAAAGAGAAGTTTCAAGGAGCCACACACACATGCCCACCACCTGAGGACCACAACCAGGAGAAAGACAGACCATCATTGGATCCAAGGCTGGTGATACCCCTCCTCTCTCTTTTATTTCTCTCACATCTCTCTCTCTCTTTCTATCTCTGTTTCTGTATTTCATTCTAGGCATATAACAGTAATATTGTTGAGAATTTGTTGTATTTCATTCTGGGCACTTAAGGGTAATATTGCTGCCAGTTTATTGTTGTAATATAATCGTAACTTTTGCCAAGCCACCATCTGTTGTAAAATGGCCAAGTTTTCAGTAAATGTGTGACTTTGATTGAACCTCTAGCGATGGTCATCACTCCGGATTACTGCGCACAGAATCTAAAATATAACCTCACCCCCACCCTCACCCACTGAGTGGGATGGACAGAGGGCCTTGGCACTGCTTGGCAGGACCATGTGTATCATCCATTCACCAAGACACAAATATGACAAACTCCTCTGGACCTTTTAGTGGGGGAAAGTGGAAAGATGGTCTCCCTTTGGAAGAGAATGTAATCAGCTGGTCAAGATGTCAAATTCTTCTGTGCTCTTAAAATAAATTCATATATGTCATCTCTCTCAAGGAAAGGAGATTTCTTGCTGCTAGTGCTATACTTATCACTGGGACATACAATGAGGGGTGTTGCTGATGTGGCTTTTGAGCTGATGGGGCGAGTATAGACACACCAGTCTGTGTGCCCTGCAATGAACGGGTACTTCACCTGTGGCTGTGTGCGGTGTGCGACCCAACTCAGCATCTGGGATGGCACCAGCTCTGGCTGAAACTTTTCTTGGTATTTCAGTTACAAGGTCCCCCAACAAGAGTTGGGGAAAGCAAAAAAATCACTTTTATGTGGGTTCTTACATGTCTGCTCAGAGATGGGCCCCTACTGCAGCTTTCTCCAAGGTGAAATGCTTATCGTGTCCCCCATCCTCTCTCTTTCTCATCAGCCAACTACTTTCACAAAGCTGACAGGTATACGCAAGACTCCCAGTCTTGAATGTACCAAACACAGCTGAAAATGGCAAAAAAAGGATCCAAAAGTTATTAGGTGGGAGGAAGGAAGGGGAAATAGTACACTCTTAGAAAGTGACAGAACATCACTTTGTAAATCTTACTTTCTTAGGATACCAGGCTGATGAGCTAAACTCTCCAAACCCTGTGTTTGAGGTCCAGAGGCAAGACAGAGAGATGTGTACAACAAAGGCAGGGAACTGGTGTTGGGGCACTGAGGCCTCCCGACGGGAGATGAGGAGTTGTACAGTTGTGAATGTTTTGACAAAAAGCCAGAGATTTTGCTAAAGTCATCTTCCTGGCTGTGGGGTAGTAGCTGTCATGCCTAAGACACTAAGGCAGTACACCTTCATCCGCAATATTTTCATTGTTTGTGTGGTCACAGACTGCAACAGTGAATGTTGGCAGTCAGATGTCTTTCCTGTAGAAATGAAGCTTTTGGGCTTAGAATGCAGCTCCCCTCTTCAAATTCCCTTTCTTTCCCTCCCCTGCTTTCTGATTAAAGTGTCAGCAAGGCAAATGTCATTTAGTAGCATCCCTAAACATATTGTACAGCAGGGAGTTTTTAAAAAAACAGCGCGTCTTCAAGAAAGTATATCCCAGGAGTGATATTTAATTGACAAGCTGACAAAACAAACCATGCTTATTCATACTTCTGTCTGTCAGTCACTACATAATTATGCAACATTCAGGGGGATTACAGAAAATACTGTTTTCTTCTAGAAAATCGTGACGTTACATATTTCAACTACTGGATTAAGAGAGTTATATTCTTGTCATTCCACCTTTATCTCATTTATTCAGTCCTATTCTCTTCATTATGGAACATCAAAAAAGAGCAAAAGGCCAGTCAGGGACTTCAGAAACAGAGTCCTACTTTCCAAGGACTGCTGATGTTCAAAGCAGAGAATGATACATGGCAGACACTGAAAACACTGCACTGACACTGTTCAGTTAAATGTAAAGCCTCATACAAGACAGGAGGGCTTTCTACTCTTGAAGCCACTGGCTTTAATTGGAATGGTGCGTTTTAGAGAAGAATTCTCCAGCACAAAACCAACAGGAATCTAAACAGACAAGGGACCTGAGGGTAAACTGTCCACATAGTATAGAAATCACATCAGGCGCACATTCTACAAAGTATTTCAGGATTAAATGCGCTAGGGTGGGGAACCTGGTTACATAGCAGCAACCTCAGCCTCAAAGGAACAGCCCCTACACTTACAGGTCTGCACACACAGCACTGACCCACCAGAAGGCAGCAAACAGAAAAATTGCTGCAGAACTGCATGGACCAAGGTGCCCAGCTTTGCACAGGATTCATGATAGCCAGCCTTCTCCTGCTGGGATATGTGCAATCCGAGTTGGTCTTGGGTTTTCAAAACAGATGAAAACTCAGGTCAATCCAATGCTGTCAAGCCAATTCTGTCTGTGATGAGTAGCTACTTCTGGACAAACCCTTCACTGTTGGGCTTATGTCTGAGCCTGAGCAAGCAAGAGTTTTCAGAGCAGAACCTGGGGACTGGGACCACTGTTAACCTGATGAGAGAAATGTGGCTTGGAAATCCTCCTGGAGCTCACCAAGGTCTTGGTACTCAGTATCACGAAGTAAAGGGGATTTTGATCACATGCAGAGTTAAGCGGCAGATGAACTAGTTTTTAAAGGTCTTAGAAGCATGTGGATTTCCAATGTGGATGCCTTACATGGTAACCACAGATAGTTCAGGTCTTTTCTTGTTCTCCATAGTGCATCCAGGTTATTCCTCTTTGGCAACTGTAGGATGCTTCAAATGATGTCAACAAGGCTACATGCAGTGCAAAATGCTAAGTTGTTTGTCTTCAACTATGATTAAGTCCTTAAGACCTGTCTGACTTCAAACATAAACATAAACATGTGCTCTGTTGATCTGGGACCCTCATTTGTGTACATATATTGCAGAAGATGGGGACCCTGTATTTTAGATTGTATTGAAAATGTTACAGGGTCAAGGGATTGGTTTGATTGTACTTTTACTTTGATTATTGGCTGCCCTGACACAAGAACACAACAAAGAGCATTGGTCCAGCCAGTAGGACCGTGGTACCTCATTTTAGTGCCATACCAAAGACTAGCTCTTGTACAAGGAAATAGAGAGGAAATATAAATTAACTCAAAGCTGAGGAAAAGTTATGACCTGGAGAGAAAAATGAAGCCAGGTAGAGTGCTCTTTGGGCAATGCACTCAGAAGTGCCTGCACTGTCCTAATAGCCCCCTGTACTGAAACCAAGGGAATTCCTCTTGTCTTGATAGGACAAGAGGAAACAGTCTCAAGTTGCGCCAGCGGAGGTTCAGGTTGGATATTAGGAAGAACTTCTTCGCTGTAAGAGTTGTTAGGCATTGGAACGGGCTCCCCAGGGAGGTAGAAGAGTCACCATCTCTGGAGGTGTTCAAAAAACATTTAGATGTGGCGCTTCAAGACATGGTTTAGTGGGTTTAGCAGGCATGGTGGCATCGGGTATATGGTTGGACTTGATGATCTTTGAGTTCTCTTCCAACCATAATGATTCTATGATTCTATGAAAAGCTCAGTAACTTCAATTTGCTCCTGTCATCCTCAGTGTGATTGTTATTGCTGACCTCATTGAGGGAAAGACAGGCAGGCACTCTAAAAATCCCAGGCATTCTGCCTGCTGTAAAAAGACCACATGCTCATCTCCCATTTTCAGTCCTCTTCTCATTCTGTTTTAGATTGTTTGCTTTCCCAGAGGACCTTTCCCTCTCTTTCTCCTTTCCTCTGTGGCTGGGTGCTGAGGAAGCGATGAGGGGAGGGGTTATGTAAGAGGAGAGAAATATAGGGGACAGTTCCAAACTGAAAATGAAAAAAGAACAAAAGCAGATAAAAGCAGTGGATCAAGTTATGTATCTGCTATTAGTGGCTGGATAAAGAGGCCTGCAGTCCCAAACACACAAAGGATTATAAATACCCAGAGAAATACTCTGTCTATCACCATAGCTACGTATTTCCAATCATCTTCCACCTGCAAGAGAAAAAAAAATGGAAAGGATAAACTGCATGTAATATAACATGCAATTGCAAGTTGACATTATGCAGCAGAAATGTCTCTTGTGCTTTTGAATGTGAGGAAGAACACACATGCAAAGAATGTTGCTTGTCATGCTTAGGGTTGCTGCAGTTTTCAAATGTCTTTAGAGAGCGATGACTTTCTAATAGTATTTACCACTTTTGGCTGAGAACATTCAACATTGTCCTAGTCTGCTGAATTTTCTAAATATTCAAGTCTATTGGCAAGCTATGGTTGTGACATTGACATTAACAAATAGGACTTGATCATGTGGTGGGTGCAGAGTGGGGTGGTTTAACAGCAGGCAGAATCACCGCAGCTGCAGATCCCTAGACCCTGTCACAGGATTTATCCTGACAGCCCACACAGGGGACAGTTTGCTATTCTGGCCTGATTTGCCACACTGTCACTCCAAGAGAGCCCCACTGACTTCAGCAAACTGGACAGCTGGACACATGGACTACAGTAAAGCAAGGGCCCTGACCGAGCAAACCACAGTACCATGTGCTAAGCAGGCCAGAGTGGATTTTCTGTGTCTGAGAGATATACCTTAGAACCACATTCAATGAAGTTGCTGTCCTTTAAACTGTACCTACATACAAGGACCACTGCATCAGAAGAACATTCACTCATATAAAACTAGTCACTGATTAAGAGCTCTCTGCTGAGGGATCTTCCATTTTTTTTCCCCAATTTCTTGATGTTTTCCTGCAAGAGGCTGCTGCTGTACTTGTTGTGAAAGAAAATGCAGCAAGAACTCCAGCTGCTGTAAATGTTGCCACAATTTTTAAAGGCCTTGTATTTATACAAGACTAGTGCATGACATACAGCTTTGTATGCCTGGGTGAAGCAGAAGCAGCCTGCAGAATCATTTCATCAGTGCTTACCCAAGAACAAACCCCTTTCTTTCTCCAAAGAGAGGATTTTTCTCAAATGAAAAATCCTGCTTCCCACCCTTACTATGTTTTGAAAGGTAAGATACAGAGCTGCTGACGCACACACCAGACTAAGAATACAATTTCACGTGGTAGAGAGATTTGCAAAATGCAAATCAGCAAAACTCGCAATGGAAGACTCATCATGAGCTGTATAATTGAGGCGGCATGCTATTCAGACTCCACTCAAAGCCTCTTCTTTTTTGGAGTGCATCAGAGAAATCAGCTGAATACGTTACACAGATGCGTTTTATGCAGCTGGTGTGGCAGTGAGAGCAGGGCTAAAACGCTGGGGTCAAGAAAAACATTGAGGGCATAAGGCAACTAAGCAAGGCTCAGCTCAATCCCCACCCTCCTCTGTGCTGATAGATTCCTGTCTTTTGCTTTGGGCTGGCACGTATTATCCATTCATCCTATCAATTCAGTTACTAGGCCTTAACTGTAGCCCTTTATTCAGAAAGTTATGGACTTTTTCAGATGAAACATCTTCTGCAGGACATAAAAAAGGGAAAACCAAGTAATTTGGGGGTTGCACAGAAATAGCATGAATTGGCACTGATTTCAACCAAATATTCTGATAGAAAGAATATCTGTCAACATTTCCCTCACAAAGCATTTGTGGTTTTCAATACAAATACAGCAGCATCTAATTTTGAAATGGATTTTGCCATCATAGAGCATCTAAAAAATTTCAAAATCAAAAGCAAACATCTAATGACAGATCAAAGACAAATGTTTCATTGGGTTCTAAACACTTTTTTAAAACATCTTGAAGTGTCAGAGAACACCTATTCCTTGTGAGGCCTGGGTGTGGGGGCATGTCGGACAGTCCTTCTTGGAGCTGCTTTTAGCTGCTTGTGTTTACAACTGAGGACGTGGCCCCAGAATTCTCTAAATTCCAAAGTGCATCATTTTCTATGACAGTAATCCCAGTTAGGATGAAAGATTTATAATCTCACACAAGCAAATCCATTAGTTCAAATGCCAAGCCTCATTTTTAAATGCCTCTCTCTCTTTTTTTTTTTAATCTGTCTTTATTCATCTGTTGTCTGTTTTTCTTAAGCTGTCTTCCCCCAAAACTCAACTTTTATTTCAACGTATGTTTGTCATGGCTGAAAAGACTGTATTGCCACAATTAGTCAAATCACTGGAAAAAAAATCAGATCACATGAGACTGAAATAAAGTACAGATAACAGCATTCTGAAAGGAATATCTTTACCAGATTTATCACTGGCTGAGAATAGTTCTCCAGATCAACTACTGTGCTGCTAGACTAGCCCTGTTCTTTAAAAAGCAGTTCCCAAATTTGCTTGTTCCATTGCTAACACAGAACAGCACCCTTCTTGGCAAATAACATGCTTAGTATTGAGATGTGACTGGTTACCAGGGCTGAGCAGTTGGTGAGCAGTGGAAGAGGGTTGCTTCTGAGGATCTACAGAAGTAGGGTTGGAAGAGACCTTGAAGGGTCCCGTCTAGCCTATCCCTTGCCCTATGAACCACTGCTGATCAAAGTCCATTCCTCATGGCCGCAACAGTCTGATGCTCCTCTTCTTTTCTTTTGAAGGGTGAGCCTCATGTCTAATCTAAAAATGTCTTGCTGCTTAAATTATCCACTGGGGATAGAGGAAGAACGGATGAGATGATAACTTTTCTTGTTCCATCCCCAATGGTGATCCCCAAGGGATGCTTTATCTCCTCCCTTTCTGCAGGAAACTGACCCATTTATAGGTCTCAAAATTTTCTTCTCTAGACCCAACAACTCCAGTTCCTCTGGGCTGCCCTCCTAGATCATGTTTTCACTTGCTCCAAGTGTGGCCCTATGCCCAGCTGGGTAGTTACCTCCCTTACCTCTTTGGTTTCATTTTGAGACCTCATGTTCTCTGCGATGAACTGAACATTACTAATGACATCCTTCACTTCTGGGGAGTACTCCATGTGCTCTGTCATCCACTTCAGTGACTGATGGCTCAGTCGTCTTCTTTTGGTGGTAGAGAGTTCAGTTGTCTTGTCACAGTGACTGCATCGCTGCTCCTTGTGTAATTTGGGATCTTTGTGTTTGCTGTGCTTTGACTTGCCTGATGGATTGGCTGATCCCTTCTTGTTTTTTCTGGGGATTTTTCTTTCTGCTTTTTTCTCCTGTTCTAGTGGCCTCTGCATCAACAGGACTTTGGGGAGCAGGCTGAGAAAGACAGTTTTTACCCATTTGGGCATTGTGTGTGTGGTTGGAGTCCTGTAATGTATATTCAGGACAAACACCGTGATGACAATTGACAGAGTCACAAATATCATAGTGAAGAGTAAATATTCACCTACAAGGGGAATTACTAAAGAAGTGGATGGGATTGTTTCTGTGATCACCAGTAAAAATACAGTCAAAGAAAGGAGCACAGAGATGCAAAGAGTCACTTTCTCACCACAGTCAGATGGCAGATAAAAAACTAACACGGTCAGGAACGAGATAAAGAGACAGGGAATGATCAGATTTATGGTGTAAAACATTGGCAACCTTCGAATATAAAAGGAGTATGTTATGTCTGTGTAGATCTCTTCACAGCAGTTATATTTGATGTCATGTTTGTAGCCAGAAGCATCAACTATTTCCCATTCACTATTTTCCCAAAAGTCATTCATATCTACTTTAGATCCAATGATCAGAAGATCAATTTTGGCTTTGTCATAGGTCCATGAGCCAAACTTCAGTGAACAGTTCTGATGATCAAATGGGAAAAAGGTAATATCCATAGGACAGGAGCTTTTAAAAATAGCTGGTGGGGTCCAGGTGATCATTCCATCATAGCGAAGGAGGGCTTTGGTCTTGCCTTCGACTTGAAAATCTCCCACAGCACTAGAAAGACAAATGAGGAAAAGAAAATTACGATGAAAGTAAAATGTCTTTCACGCACACTGCAAGAGAATACTTTGGAGAGGAAGGGTAAAATGGAAGAGTGTTCATCATACTTATTATACAAGACAATATCTGGTTTCCAAATTTTATCTGCTGGTACCCGAACAGACTCAATGCCATCATATTCTCTGGGATCCCATTGCAATTTGTAGTCATTCCAAATCTGAAAGAAGAATGGACAAAGATTTCAAAACCTTGTATTATCAGCAAATATCTCCTTCTCAGATCTTCCTGTAAAATGACAGGCTATGATAACAACTGAAAGTGCAGCACGTGTAAAAGGGGACAATGGTCTGAAAGGCAAGGCCATGACCTGGAGAAACACAGGATGTGTATGAATTTAATTTGCTACTCCCTCCTCTCTGAGGCGATGGGATGCCAATTGTTATCCATTGCTGACATGCTGAGATCTGTCCTCTGTCTTGCTACATCAGTATAGACCCTTACCTGTTCAAGGTTACCTCCCCACTGCAGAGAGGAAATACGGGCCTTGCTGCTGCTGTCAGGAGAGTGCACTCTGCAGGTTAGAGGCGGCCAGAATCAAAGGAGACCAGCATCCGAATGAGAAAAGAGGTATAAATGCACCCTAACAGGCAGCTGCTGCCAGGGGGCAGTATTGGTTCCACAGGGGTAGTGAATTACCAAGTCAGGGGCAGCAAGGGATGTCCAGCAGCTCTCTTGCATGGCTGTCTAGTGCCCTGTTACGGGGCCATGCTCCATGCTCTTGCACCTTACCCTGAAGATCCTGATCAGTATCTTTTACAGTACAGTGTCTTTTACAGAAAGCTTTGTGTGGACCACAATCAGTGCCTGAAGGAAACAGGTTTTCGTGGAAGTTGGCTTGTTTCTCTCAGCAGTTTAGGTCCTCTAAGGATCTTTATCTATGTACAAATGCTAAAACCATCGGGAAAAATGGAGGCATGTTCCTTTTGCTAATAAATGTTTTGGTTGGAATCTTCAATATGGAGATGACCTAACACTGCAGAGCTGCATATTTAATCACTGTTTAATGGGTACATCCAGCTAGATTTAGCAGATAAACCACTGATCATGAAGTTGGAGGAGAATATACCACACAGGAAAGATGGAAGATTTAGCTTCTTGGAAACAAGAATAAAGAAATTACTTTTTCAAATGTGGCTTTGGTTTATGGAGCTTCTCCTTATTCATACCTTTAAAATCCTTGTTACAAAACAAGCACTTATTCTATAGATGTAGCTTACAAGATAACACACATTTCATCATATCAATGCAAAATGCATGAGAAATGCAATGCAGTCACTTACGTGTCTTAGCCACAAATTTGTTTCCATAATCTGATTGACTTCATCCTAGAAAGAAACACAGACATGCACATTTTCACTCCATAAATCAGTTACAATATCCTGAGATGGCCATAAACTTACTCGATAAAAATGGAAACTAGAATTCCACATTAACTGACATCAGATTTGTTCTGGCTATTTTCAGGGGGCTTATGTATTGTGCACAGTCCCTCTCTACTGAAAAATTTTTAAAACCCTACTGAAAAATTATGCCCCACAAATATCAGACATACAAAGATCTGTACTCTTTTTTCAGGGGCTGAGTACATGGAGAACACAAAACTTACAATTATTCTGACCAGCACCAGAGGAATAAGGTTCTGCTGGTAGCTATGTATTTTGTTGGATTCAGTGTTTAAAAAGCTCTGTTTACACTGCACAGTACTGGCCAAGATTCAAGGAAAACGGCATCTGTACCACAGTGTTCTTGCATTTCTATGCAAAACTCTAGAACAGATGCACTCGATCAGCACTAAATTAGGTCACTGTTGTACTGAGTGCTTTTTACAGTCAATTACTGCTATTGCCAATCAGCAACAAATCAGGAAGGCACTGCAAGAGACACAAAAATAAAAGATTGTATCCTGTTCTAATGAGTCTTCAGCCTAAAAGTATTCAGAAAGACTCGTATTACACAAAGTTATGAATGCAGGCTGACATTCACAATGAAAATATCTGCAAGAATATTGCTTTGAGTAATTCTTAGTTTTTAAGCATGTGGACTCAAAAAATTTAAGATGTTTACAAGCCAAAGGTAGAAAATGTTGTAGATGAATTTTCTACATTAGGTACTGAAGATTAAGCACAAAGATAATTTTGAAAGGCCAATAGGGTTCCTGTCTATGGATTAAACTATCTAAGTTCTTGTAAAAATTATTACTCTTTCTTGAGAAAATCCACTGATTTACATATGATGTTTCTTTTTTTCTCCAAAGACAGCACTGGGAGCCAGGGGCTGCAATGTGAGACCTACCTGTTGAAACCTGTCAAGCTACCTTAACATGGAAACAAAATACTTTGACAAAGGAACTCCAAAAGGTGACAACTGCCTTCACCATGAGAACTTAAAATGCCTTCATTTATACTCCCAGTTAACTTAGCTTCCTGGCTGCTGTTGAATGTTGCTCCTCACTGATTGCTTGTCACTTCATTACAGACTCAACTAGGTACCTCAGAATCAAAATCCGGCCTCAGTTCTGTGGATAATTTGCATTATCCAGAGAACAGCAGAATTCAACAAGGGTTAAGGTCAGGTTTTGCTTCTTCCACAGTCCCTCTGCCCTGCCTAGCAGGTCTGCCACCTCAGACACACTCACCCTTGTATACAGTGCACGCCAGAACACACAACATTCATCCCCAGCTCCATGCTTTAAAACACCACTCTGCAGTCTGCATATCTCTTATGTTATTTTGAAACAAAAAGACTATCTCTCAGGACCACGGGGAAATGAGAGAACCACGGGAGAACTGCGCCACATGGCTAGTCTCTGGAGCGGGCTAGCACTGTGGAGAGCGGACTTGAACATGTGGTATTGCTGCTCTGGGTGCCAGAGGCTGCTACCTGGAGTGGAGGAATTTGATGCTACAAAGTAAGCAAATGGATCTGTGTAGTTCAAACCGCTTGTCTGAGCAACTAGAGCAGCTGACAGAAAGAAAGCAAAGGTCTCAGCTTATACACATATGCACACATGACAATGTCAACTATGAAAGTTGTAGGTGCAACCATCACAATTACATCTCTGCTTTAGCAATTTGCACGTGTTTGCAACCATCCCCAAATCTCAGGAGTATTCTGTAACAAGTCTTACCACATTTGTAAGCTGGGTAATGGCCACTTCAAAATACACTGTGACAGGATCAGACACATTCTCCACTGGCCTGATGAACTGGTTGTACTGGGAGAAGAGTTTGTGAAATAACCGTTCCTCTGATTCGCAGGCTGTGGTATCTGTGTTGGTAAAGATAAAGAAGAGCTATGTCAGAGGTAAGGAAGAGGGAAAGATGGTGCAGGACAACATACTAGTCCATGCTGTATTTCTGGATCCTTGCAACCATGCATCAAGACACAGGAGCACAGAGAGAAGGCAGCTGCCAGTTGAAAGCATTCTCTTGCAGGACGTTGCCCACTGCTCCCTGTCTCCTCAAAGTGTAAGGTAATGGCCTGAATGGAAATGTGTCCTAAGCTGGATCTAGCTTATGGGCCTCCATTTGGCCGACTCTGACATTAGATCAAAGTAGAATAAGGTGTGTGAAGTAGAAAAAGTAGAAACGTGGTGAATTTTATCTTTGGAAGTTTTTATGGTAAAACTAAGAGTTTATGAAAAGCATAGCTACTTACTCAGAAATTAAAAGCTTGAGGCTGCAACTACTGGATCAAAATCTATGTCAGGGACTTTGGTGATTATAATGACGCCTCCTAGTCTTAAAAACTATCACCACATTTTATCCTCATGTATGCTATTTCAGTTCTTTAGATAGCATGATTTTTGCTCTGAAGGAAGTTCATTTATTAAGTTCTATGAGAAAAAAAAGTGGAAGTATTAAAATTTCTTATAGAGTAGCATGCACCTTTGTAATACATAGCGATTCTTTGGGAACAAGAAGATCATAGCTGTAACCCCCATTCAACGCAGGATAGACCCGATGGCTTGGCGGGAATAAGGTATATGATAGGCACCGAGCTATCTCATTGCAGAGTCAAGAATGGTCTTAATCTGTAACATACAGCCCAAACCTGAAATAGTATTTTCACAGTGCTAAAGGCTACAGACTTTGAGTTCAAAAGGAAAGATTAAATCATGTCGACAGGCAACATCAGCTCAGAAAAATACTTTTATTCAATAACTTTGCTATTTCAATGCACTACTACAATCCAGCACTTAAATTCAAACTACTTTGTAAGGCAAAGATTTAGAACTAGCTCCTCATATTGAGCATAGCTGTGTTATCAAAGCTATGTGATGATGTCAAAGATATTACTGAGGCAACTGAGGAAAAATCAGTTTTTCAGATACGTGGTCGTAAGTTTTTGTGTTAGTCCCAGACTGCACTAGAACATGTCAGGAAAGCAATCATGATAAGCCTTTATGACTGCAAATATTGAACACAGAAGGGGTTTGTGTCAGGCACCGTGGTGTCTGGCACAATATAGGACATAAATTTGCAATTTACATTTCCTTCAGTGAACACAAGGGCCTGTGGTTGCACAGATGTCCTACAGGGAGATGCTTAGTCTCAGCATGCTGCACTGTTTTCATGCTTAGGCCATCCTTCCCCTGTTTTTGAAAAAAAAAGGGCATTTCTGCCTCTAAGGTGATACAAAGCATGCTTCGATTCAGGGGATTATCATGATTAAAAGCTGAAATGTTGGTTACTGTTGACTTACATGTATGGAAAGAAAATTCTAGTAAAACTTCCATGACTTGATGTTTTGTTTCATCTTTTTAGCATCATCCAGAGAAGATACATGAATGTCTGTAAAGTCTGGAAGTTTGTATATCATGTGTTGTGCTATCCAAAAAAGAAACTGCAATTTCCTTTTCCGATTTCCTCATCATCATCCATCGCACTGTGACTAGAAGTACGCTACTGTGTGAACGAAGTTTCTTACCAAAGTCTCAGGACTAAAGCTGGTGAGTCTAAAATCATGTTTCATTTGAAATTTTCTTACTGGTTTCTTAACAGATACATGCTTTAAAATAAAGTAACAGAAACAGACAAGTATTTAGGCCTTTGATTTTTATATTTCAGTTACAGATTCTCATCCCATTGGTGCTGCTTTAAGACAATGCTTTATGCCTTCCTAACACAAGCACTGTAATTCATAAATGTCTTAATCGTCAGCAGAAGTGAGACTTTAAAAAAAGATGTGGTGTCTTAAAAGCAAAAATTCTGCTAAAAGACTTGTGCATGGAAATCATTCCAGCATATTTAACTATAGATCACAAACAACAGTGAACAAAAATATATCAAGTTTTACTTTTAAAGGTGTGAGTACTGAATGTGCATATCTTTAGCCTGTATCATTTAAGCAACTGCAAAATTCAAGCACCAAATGAAATCACTAGAACCCCTATTTCACTTTCATTCTTTGCTAGAAACAGTTCCTTAATAAGTTATCAAACCAAAATGAAGAGTTTTATGTGTGAAAACTAGAACTGCTTTAGTTCTCTTAAAATACTGTTGAAATGTTACAGATTTCAGGTTAGAAATAGCTGGTAGAAGCTTTACACTGAATTCAGTCTAGGAAAACAGAAGCAAAGACAGTGACTAGAAAATATTTTAGAGACTAGTATCAAAGAGAGCCTACCTTTATTCAAGGATGTGAACACGAATGCCCACACATAGAAAGCAGGGTAACACCAACATAGCCACCTCTCAGGATGCATTGCTAGCAGCAGAATAGAGCTTCCTCTTGAGAAGAGAGGTTTGGGGAAAGAAATAGTAGGCAAGAAGATATACAAGCGCCCTGGACAGTAAGTAGGTGGTACAAGGAAGGATTTCAGTTTCGCATTTGCAGCAAACTCTGCAGTTTGCTTAGCAGAGCAAAGCCTTGCAGAGTTGCTTCCACTATTAGCAGACAGGAGAGCTTATGCTGTACAGAGAGAAGGGAGTCAGGCAGCATCCTATCAGGTGACTTTTCACATTTCCAGTCACCCGCACCCTTGCCTCTGGGGGAATGTGTACAGTGCAGGAAAGAGGGGGAAGGCAAGACACAGGGCAGCCAGTGTGGAGCAGGGGCGGGGTGGGGGGAGGACTGTCTCAGCTGTCCACCCACTGGTTAAAGAACACTCATCCAAAGCAGTTGCTTTAGCTATTGCCTGGTGCTCACCTGAGTGAGTCCATCAGAATATGCAGAGACGAAACAACTTCAGTTTCTTGGCTGAGGACTAATTCTGCAGCAGGAGAAATGGATGCTATGTGGTTTTAACACCAGCAACCAACTGAACCTTGAAATAAGCACAGCATCCTGCGACAGAATTGTTTGATAGTATTTGGAGTGAATAAATCTAAGGCAAGTAGATTTATTATTGCCATCCAACCGGAACAACTAAGCATGCTAAGTTCTTTCCTGACAGACAAGACAGCTCAGAATACAATTTTTTTCTATCATATTTTTTTTTTTTGCGTGCAGTGATTCCTGTGCCATATCCCGCTAGTGTGGAAAAGGAGCAGCAGAACAAACGGAAAACATCAGGTGCTGTTACAGAAGTACCTAACAAGTCAAGTTCACTGGGACAGAGTGTTACTCTTAATCACAGAAGTTAAAAAAAATGGAGATCATGATCCTGTAGAGATTAATGCATGTTCACTCCTCAAGCGTTCAGTATGCATGTCCTTGAAACAG